TCCGGAATTATGTGCCCCTAGTTTCTAACATCCCCCTTCACACACATACGTTAGCCCAGGGCAGGGCTATTTTTGGGCAGGAACGCACAGGAACGGAGTTCCAGCTGGCTCCCGAGTTGGTCACGCCCAGCAGGAACTCATTAGCATAGTAGGCCACACCCAACATCAGAAACTCATTAGGATTGGCTACGTTAGGGGTGTGTGGCCTGACATGCAAAGGAGTTCCTGCTACAAAAAAAGGCCCTGGGTTTTGACAACAAACAGGGTAAACAGAATAAGAAGCAAAAGGTGGGTGTGGCTGGATGACTACACTTCTGGTAACATGGGGGTGTGGCCTAATATGCTAATGAGCTATGTCATCAGGGGTGTGGCCTAATATGCTAATGAGTTCCAGCTGTTGGGTGTGGCCTATTATGCTAATGAGTTCCTGCTGGGCTTTTTCTACAGAAAGAGCCCTGGGTGCCATGGTGCCCACTGACTCCTTTCCTGGTGCCCACTGTGTTTTTCTAGAAAGTGGGTGGGCCAGGTGGGGCTTAGGATTCGCCAATTTTTACAGATCTTTTCTCATCAACTTTGCCCAGGTGAGTTTACCACTCACGGATTTATTAAAAACGAAGGGAAAGGGGCCCAAGAGTACTCGTCCAGGTGCTAAACTGACGTGGTCGGCTGAATGCCAGGAGGCGTTCGATCGCTTGAAGGCTCTGTTCACATCCGAGCCAGTATTAGCGCACCCCGATGAAAATAAAAAATTAATTCTGCAAGTTGATGTGTCAGATGTTGCCATGGGTGGCGCCATTTTGCAAGAAGGGGGGTGGGTGGGAGGTTGCACCCCCTTGCATATGTATCACGCAAGTTCAATGACAGAGCGGAACTGGTCGGTGTGGGCCAAGGAAGCGGGGGCGGTTAAGTTGGCCCTCTCAACCTGGTGCCACTTGTGCCGCTTGAGGTCTGGACTGACCATAAAAACTTGGAGGTGTTGTGGACGCCCTGCAACCTTAATGCCCAGCAGTTGCGGTGGGCGGATTTCTTCTCCAAGTTCAACTTCACCATTTGCCGGGCAAAACAAACTCTCTCGCAGATGCATTGTCCCGCCTTCCTCAGCATGACAGTCAGCGAGAGGACGTGCTAGACTCTATGTTCACTCCCTCCCAGTTAGGGGGGCAGTGTTGACTCGCAGCCAAGCGAAGGCCTTGCCCCCTGGTGAGGGGGGTGGCTGGGAAATGAAATTCGCCTCTGCCCTCTTGGACTCTGATCGAAAGGCACTGGAAAGGGAGGTGGAGGTGGAAGAAAGGGCGAACGGCTGCTGGTACCACGGGCACAAACTGTTTGTTCCATCTGCCTTGCGGGGGGGGGGGGGGGGATGTCATGTCAGCGGTTCATGGCAGTAAAATGGCGGGGCACCCGGGCTTTGTGAAATCGTTGCATTTACTGCAACGTCAGTTCTGGTGGCCGGGGATAAGGATCTCTCTGTTTCTCATTTAAACAAACAAAAAAGGATCTCTCTGTTTGTCCAGTCATGCCAGACGTGCATCATGTGTAAACCACACCCCGGGAAGCCACCTGGACTGCTGCGGCCCCTGCCTACCCTCGCCCCCCCGTGGGAGGTGATCTCCATGGATTTTATCACTGATTTACCTCCCAGCCTGAGGGAAACGGTTATATGGGTGATAGTGGATCTTTTCACCAAGCAAGCCCATTTTGTCCCGTTTAAGTCCATGCCTATGGCTTGCCTTCTGGCCAAGGCATTCATCCAACTGGTCTTCAGACTACATACTTTGCCCCGCAAGATAATATCCGACTGCGGGACACAATTTGTTTCCAAGTTCTGGAAGGAACTCATGGACCTGTTGGGGGTGGAGCGGGGCCTGAGCAGCGCTTACTACCCAGAGACTGATGGTTCAATGGAACGGGTGAATCAAACCCTGGAGCAGTACCTCCATTGTTTCACTAACTAGCAACAGGATGACTGGGAGGGGCTCTTCCCTTTTGCCGAATTTTGCTACAATGCATTATCACTCATCTACGGGGGGTCTCCCCGTTCATGGCTCTTTATGGATATGAGGCCCCGCTCCTCCCCTTCCTGACGGACTCTACCCTGCCTGAGGGGGATGTGGAGGATGTGGGTGTCAGCGGTTGCGGGATGCATGGCCGGTCCAGTGCAAGGCTTTGGATAGGGCCAAAGACGCTTATAAAGCGCAGGCGGACAAAAAACGTTCTGAGAGCTGGGACATCCAGCCAGGGGAACCTATCTATGTTTCCACTAAGAACATCCAGGGTCTTCACCCTACACATAAACTGGGGTGGAAGTTTATTGGCCCTTTTCAGGTGTTGCGTAAGATCAATGATGTGACTGTTGAACTGGATTTGCCTAAAAATTTAAAGTTTCTGCGTCCCATTTTCCATTCCAGCCTCTTAAAACGGGATCCTGGACCTAATGGTTGGAGACCCCAAAGGGCACAGCCCCCCCCCCCGATGGTGCAAGGCGAACAGCATTTTGAAGTGGCCGATATTTTGGACTCTAAGCTTAAGCGCAAGAAGTTGAACTATTTGGTGGAATGGGCTGACTTTGGGCCGCAGCATCACAAGTGGGTGGAGGTGGGTCACACCAAGGCCCCTCATCGTCACCAGTTTGGTGTAGTGGTTAAGTGCGCGGACTCTAATCTGGGAGAACCAGGTTTGATTCCCCACTCCTCCACTTGCACCTGCTGGATGACCTTGGGAAAGCCGTAGCTCTGATAAGAGCTGTCCTTGGAAAAGAGCAGTTTCTGTCAGAGCTCTCTCAGCCCCACCTACCTCACAGGGTGTCTGTTGTGGGGAGGGGAAGGGAAAGCAGTTTGTAAGACGCTCTGAGACACCTTTGGGTAGTGAAGGGCGGGGTATAAATCCAATCTCTTCTCTTCTTCTTCTATGCAGGTTCCACCATTGTTTCCTGGGGAAACCGGGGGAGGAGCTTTTGGGAAGGCAGGATGTCAGTTAACACTGCTATTCTTTGGAATGTGTGTGGGGAAATCCTCCCGGCCTCTGCCTGGTACACTAACAAAGTCTACTGTCTGGATTTTATCTGCTTTAGTTGTTCTGACCTTGGCGGTTCCGGCTGCTACTGACTCGCTGGGAACAAACAGTTTCTAATTTGCCCGCTCTCTTTCCCCCGCGCACGCGGACGTTGCTTATTGGCCTTTGCTTGTAGGGGTGTGTGTTTTGAACCTGGTATAATTCAGGGTACTTTGATGCTTCGGGCCATTCCTGACACAAGTTCACGTGTCATAGTGATGAACTACCAATGAACGGAATTCTTCTTATGAAGCGCTGGGTGGTGTGATCTGACTATCGAACCCTGACACCCAGGAGCCTTTACCAGCCTGGCTCTTGTGTGACCGACATCCTCAGCTTGGCTGCTGAAGATGACCAAGGGAGTGCTGGATGCCCCAGAGCCTCTAGTTTATGCAGGCTCCTTTCCCTTCCCATCAGGGAGGACTCTCTGTTAAGCTCCTGCAGGGAGAGCCATTACTCAGAAGGAGACCACCTACTTGAATGCTAGGCTTACCCAGTGAGAGGTGGTGAGGCTGGGGAAGAGAGAGATCCAGATGGGCCCTTGATTGCATTTGGCAGCTCTGACTGATTCTCTCTCATGCCTGCACACACTTTCTTGGCATTTATCTGTGCTGATCATGAGGGAGACTGCCAAGTCACCAGGACCTTTCTACCATGCATTTTTCCTCACTTTGGGATCACTAGTAAAGGTAAAGGTTCCGTTGCTCGAAAGCCAGTCGAATCCGACTCTAGGGTTGTGGTGCTCATCTCCGTTTCAAAGCCGAAGAGCCAGCGCTGTCCGAAGACGTTTCCGTGGTCATGTGGCTGGCATGACTAAACACCAAGGCGCACGGAACGCTGTTACCTTCCCACCGAAGTGGTCCCTATTTATCTACTTGCAATTTCTTGCTTTCGAACTGCTAGGTTGGCAGGAGCTGGAACTAGAGATGGGAGCTCACTCCGTCATGTGGCACACTCAGGTCTTGAACTGCTGAATTACTGACCTTCCATAGCCTGCAGTTCAGCATCTTAACCACTTGAGCCACTAGGGAGAAAGAAAAAACAGCCCAGTTTCAAAGACCAGCTCTGCAGTGACTACCTGTCAGGCTGGGGGTGGTGGGAGGAAGGGGAGACTTGGAATGAGGGAGACAAAGTCCATTTCAGTGAAACTGTACAAGATCAAATTCCATCTTACAACTGTACAGTAAAGATGGATGTCATTCTGTTTTATAAGGCAAACTTGCAACCACGTGGATAAAAGATTTCCAGAGAATGTATTATAGGAATGATGTGTATTTGACAAAGACCGTGTATCAAATTCCTTCAACCTGGACAAGTTTTCCTTTGGGAATTAAGAGCTTTCAGGATTATCTGTTACTGCATTTCATTCCAGAAAGATGAACAATCGTATGATAAGGAACTTCATAAAGAGTATTCGGACTTCAAATTAATAATTGAAGTGAAGATAAAAGCTCAAGCAATGAAAACCTTTCAAGACATATTCTAACATTTACATGGCAACAAGAAGAATTCAGTGAACTAAATCTTCTCCTAGATATTTGTGGAACTTTTCAAGCCTCAAGTGCTGATTGCGAGAGAGGTTTTAGCTTGACGAATGCCATTAAAACGAAGGTTGGAAACCGGCTAGATGCAGATCACCTGGAGAACTTAATGAGAATTGAACTGCATACGTCTAATGGGAATAACATTAATACTGACAGTATTTACAATTTCTGGAAAACAGAGGAAAAGAGAAGAGAGAAATTAAATTAAAACATTTTCTGTAATGAAATTCGACTTGATTCTGTTTTCACTTATAATGTTTAAATCATTCCTAAAATATAGTTTAAAAGAATTCATTCTGAGATTTTTACAAGGTCATAGTAATAATCTTCTAAAGACTAATTTACATGATAGTCAAATGCAGGCTTGCTCGCAACTTTAATGCTAGTAGGTTTTTGGCTCACAAAGTAATTTGGTCACAATACTCCACAGCTTAGAGGGAACATTGCTTGGGTCTCTGCCTCAAGCGCTTGCTACACAGTTAAGTATTTATGAGGTTCCTCCCCTGTGTGGATTCCGCAATGGTTAAGGAGATATGGGCTGACCTTGAATTTCCTCCCACCCTCAGAACATATCCTTTCTTCCCCGTGAGATCTGTTTGAGCTCTGTCTCCAGTCTGAATATTTCTATCATTTCTTCCAGGTTAGGGTAAGGATTCTGGGCAGATGCAAAAGCACTTTACATAAGCTAAACAGTTATATGGTTTCTGTTGGTGTGGGTTCTTTGATGCTCTTGAAGACTGCCATGCTGACTGAATCCCTTCCCACACTATGAACATTAAAATGGATTCTCCTTTGTCTGAGTTTGTAGATGCTTTCTACACGCTGAGAATTCAAAACATTTTTCCTTGGTGTAGGTTCTTAGATTCTGTTGAAGGTCCTTCCAGATTCTGAGCGTTCAAAAGTTTCTCCTCTGTGTGGGTTCTTTGATGCTGTTGAAGATTGTCATTCCGACTGAATCTCTTTCCACACTCTGAGCATTCAAAAGGTTTCTCCCCTGTGTGGGTTCTTTGATGCAATAGGAGATTGCCACTCTGACTGAATCTCTTTCCACACTCTGAGCACTCAAAAGGTTTCTCCCCTGTGTGAGTTCTTAAATGTTTGTGAAGATGGCTGCTCTGACTGAATCTCTTTCCACATTCTGAGCATTCAAAAGGTTTCTCCCCTGTATGGGTTCTTTGATGCTGTAGAAGGTTGTTACTCTGACTGAATTTCTTTCCACACTCTGAGCATTCAAAAGGTTTCTCCCCTCTATGGATTCCCTGATGCCGATGAAGATGGTCACTCCAACTGAATTTCTTTCCACACTCTGAGCACTCAAATGGTTTCTCCCCTTTGTGGATTCTTTGATGGTGCTGAAGATTGCCATTTCGATTGAATCTTTTTCCACACTCTGAACATTCAAATGGTTTCTCGCCAGTGTGGGTTCTTTGATGCTTTTGAAGGTCACAACTTTGACTGTATTTCTTCCCACACTCTGAGCATTCAAAAGGTTTCTCATTTGTGTGGGTTCTTATGTGCCTTTGAAGGTCACAATTTCGACTGAATTTCTTTCGGCACTCTGAGCATTCAAAAGGTTTCTCCCCTGTGTGGGTTCTTAGATGCTGTTGCAGATGGCCACTCTGACTGAATCTCTTCCCACACTCTGAACATTCAAAAGGTTTCTCACCTCTGTGGGTTCCTTGATGACGCTGAAGATTGCCAGCCCCACTGAACCTCTTCCCACACTCTGAGCAGTCAAAAGGTTTCTCTCCAGTGTGGTTTCTTTGATGTTGTTGAAGATTACCAAGCTGACTGAATTTCTTTCCACACTCTGAGCAATCATAAGGTTTCTTCTTTGTGTGGGTTCTCAGATGTCGTTGAAAATTGCTACTGTCACACAATCTCTTTCCACATTCTGAGCATTCAAAAGGTTTCTCTCCTGTGTGAGTTCTCAGGTGCTGTTGAAGACTGCATCTGTGACTGAATCTCTTTCCACATTCTGAGCATTCAAAAGGTTTCTCTCCTGTGTGGGTTCTTAGGTGATGCTGAAGACTGCATCTGTGACTGAATCTATTTCCACACTCGGAGCATACGAAAGGCTTCTCTCTGTTGTGAGTCCTAAGATGCTGTTGAAGATTGCCACTCAAACTGAATCTCTTTTTACACTCTGTGCATTCAAAAGGTTTCTCTCCTGTGTGGGTTCTTAGATGCTGTTGCAGATGGCCACTCTGACTGAATCTCTTCCCACACTCTGAGCACTCAAAACGTTTCTCCCCTCTGTGGATTCCTTGATGACGCTGAAGACTGCCAGCCCCACTGAACCTCTTCCCACACTCTGAGCACTCAAAAGGTTTCTCCCCTGTGTGCGTTCTTTGATGTTGCTGAAGACTGCCAAGCTGACTGAATTTCCTTCCACACTCTGAGCATTCAAAACGTTTCTCCTTTGTGTGAGTTCTCAGATGCCGCTGGAAATTGCTACTGTCACGCAATCTCTTTCCACATTTTGAGCATTCAAAAGGTTTCTCCCCTGTGTGGTTTCTTAGGTGCTGTTGCAGATAGCTACTCCGACGGAATTTCTTTCCACACTCTGAGCATTCAAAAGGTTTCTCCCCGGTATGTATTCTCTGGTGTATAAGGAGCTGTGATCTGTATTTAAAGTACTTCCCACACCGAAAGCATTTACATGCCTTTATTATAATGTTCCTTGGGAAATGCAGATTTCCATGTCTTCCATCAGAGAATGTAATTCCACTCTCTGAACAGATCAATGGCTTTGCTCCTGAATGAATGCTTTGGTGTTTAATAAGGTCTGATTTCTGTAAGAAACTTTTGCCACAGTCTGAGCGACTATAATGTTTCCCTCCCGCATGTGTCTGTTGATGTCTAAGTAGTTCAGCTCTACAAAGGAAGCTCTTTCCACAGTCCAAGCATTGATGGATATTCTTTCCACTGTGCATTCGCAAATGGATATTATATTGGGTTTGATCTGAGAAATTCATTCCACACTCCAAGCATTCGTACGTTTCTTCCATCAGGGGAATTACTTGGCAAGGAATGGGCTGATCCCTCTTTTCGACTGCATGGTTTCCCTTTTGCGTCTTGGGTCTGCCTTGATTCCTGAAGTTTCGTCTTAAGTCTTCATTCTTGACTTCGTCTGGCGATAGACGATGCAGTTCCTCATCCTCCTTGTTCCTCTGATCACCTTCTGTTGGAGTAAAGAGAGAGATCCCATTAGCACCCACACAAGGGGGTCTGATTTGCACTTGAAATTCCATCCACACTCAAAGTGTTTCAGGGCCTTGTTACTGCTCTACAGTGTACAGTGTACAATAATATACACGTTAAAAGTGGGTTCCTGCCTGCCTGTATAGTCCATATCGATCTCTGAAGTTTCCCTCAGCCTCTTCATTCTTGGCTTTTTCCAAAGAGAACCCCTGGAATCCCCCAAGTGTCTCCTCTACATCTGCTGCTGGAATACAGATAGAGGTCCAATCAGTGCCTATGCAAGTAGCCAAGCCACCAATCGGGCACTCCTCATTCACAAGGGTGCCATTTCCTTTGGCGGAACTTCTTTCCCCCATGACACATGAGTAGGCCTTGCAAAGTCAAGGCAGCAGCCGGAGGTCGTGTCCAGCATGACTGGGCCGGAAGGGACGTGGCTAATGGGAATGCGGAGGCTGGCTGGACAACTAAAAAGTTTAAGTGGGGGGAGCACTTAAGGAGGCTGCTGGAGAGCTCACCGGAGGTGTCACAAGGAGGCCCAGCAGGGACCCTCAGGAGTTGCCTAATAATGCCGAGGTGGGGGGTGGGGCAGCAGACAGACAGAACGAGCAAGGAGTGAGAGGACTGAAAAGAAAAAAAACAGTACCAGTGTGGTAAAGGGCAACAGTGTGAGGGCTTCTAGTGTCCCGGCCCCACTGGTGGACCTCCTGATGGCACCTGGTATTTTTTGGCCACTGTGTGACAGAGTGTTGGACTGGGTGGACCTTTGGCCATTGGCCTGATCTAACATTGACTTTTCTTATGTTCTTGTGTAAGAAGGGAATAGGAAGGGAATGGACTGATGAGAACATCTGGAGAGAGACAGATGGAGATTGGGGGTGGGGGTGGCACAGAGCACCTAAACGTATGCTGGAAGCCTGCTGTAAAAGGAAGGGGAGGGGGAGGGATAGCAAAATGTTATCTATGTACTAGAGTGGCTGAGGAAGAACCTGGGAGGGGGGTCCTGCAGATTTGGGAGGAACCCTGGTCTGAGGCCACTGCCAAGGTTACATCCCCCAAAAAACATGCTTGCTATAAGGGAGGAGGATGCCGGACCCTCACCAAGTGAACAGCACAGTTTAAAGGGCACCCCCTACACTTTTTGGAAGGGATAGCAGTTGTTGGGGGGGGGGGTGTTAACGCATCTGGGGGACGACTGAAGGACCAGCGTTGATGGCCCTTTTGCCTCATCCAGCCTGGCTGTTCTTATGTAACCCTAACCAGTGTTCCCTCTAAGCTGAGTTAGTGTGAGCTAGCTCACAGTTTTTTAGCCTCCGGCTCACACATTTTTGTCTCAGCTCAGGAAGGGTGGCTCCAGAGCAAACTAATTTATGCAGCAGCCAAATCGCTCGCTCACAACTTTAATGCCAGTAGCTCACAAAGTAGAATTTTTGCTCACAAGACTCCACAGTTTAGAGGGAACATTGACCCTAACCCACCTTTCCGTAGTCTATCCAGTATTTAAGGATACCGCACCATCTCAAGACCCACCACTGAGCTCAGGCCCAGAAAGAGCTTCTGAACCTCCAGATTTCGGGTCCCAGAAGGCCTCCTTCCCTCCTAATCCAGCATGCTTTATAATGCTACCAAACCAAGAGTTGCTAAGGAGAGCAGAAACCCTCCATTCCTATTCCTCGCTCGTTCCTTTGACATAACTGTGAAGGATACCCGCTCGCAGTCAGGTCATTTGGGAAGGACATACTCTCTTTTCTTGAGGAACTCTCCAGCCTTTCTTCAGATGAAAGGCCTCTGTATGTCTCCACCAGTGTTCCCTCTAAGCTGCGTTAGTGCGAGCTAGCTCACAGTTTTCTAGCCTCCGGCTCACACATTTTTCTCTCAGCTCAGGAAGGATGGCTCCAGAGCAAACTAATTTATGCAGCAGCCAAATCACTGCTCATAGCTTTAATGCCAGGAGCTCACAAAGTGGGATTTTTGCTCACAAGACTCTACAGCTTAGAGGGACCATTGGTCTCCACCATAGTCTCTCTTACATTTCTGGCTTCTTTGGCAGAGAGAGAGAAAGTGATCATTCTTATACAGGAAAGAAATCCAAGGAGGAAGAATTCTTCCAGTTTAAGGGGGAGGGATCCGTACCAGATCACAGTCAGAGGGGATGGCTGTTATCCCATCTGGGGGAAGAGCATGTTGTAAATCAGGTTCTGAACCCTTCCAGGGCCTTTCTGAGGGCCTCTCAGCCCCTTCTTGGCCTCAGGCCAGGACGCCCTCTCTGGCTCGGGTGACACCCACAACACTGGCCTCAGTATTAGCAGGACATTTGTGAGGGAAAGGGTTTAAACTGTGTTTGCACTTTACAGGCACATTTATTTCCTTTCTGAGGCACCTCTATTTTTTAATTTTTCTTATTTTCCTGACCTAACCTGGTTCTCTTTCTGTTAACTGAATGAATTGATTTTCTTGTTTAAGAAGCTGATACCTTTCATTTCTTTTGAGCGTTGGTCTGTATCTCAACCCAGGTAGTCATAGGTTTACAATCTCGGGAATTAGTACCCCACGATACATGTGTTTTCTCTTTGCTAGCAGGAGGATGCTTTTGCTAGCCACAGGGGTGGACGTCCATGAGTGATTTGGGTCACAGACCCTTTTCTGAGGGCCTCTCAGCCTCTCCTGGGCTCCAGGCCAGGACACCCTCTCTGGCTCGGGTGCTGGACACAACACAGGCCTCACTTGCCCCTGGGCCAGCCAAGTGGATTGGGTCGCTCTCCCAGGCCGTGCTGAAGGTCACTTTTACTGCCACCCCGACTCCTCGAGACCCCAAACAGGGGACAAGTAGCAGGGCAGACCTGAAAACGATGTATTCACGTTCAATATTTTGATTCATGCCTCATCTCAGTGGTGGCAGTTTGCACCTTTGGCACCCATGGAAGATCCTTACCCAGAGAGGCCACGCTCCCACAGATCTCCAGCATGACTTCCCTGTAGAGAGCCCTTTGGCCCGGATCCAGGAGCGCCCACTCTGCCTCTGTGAAATACACGGCCACCTCCTCAAAGGAAAATGGACACTGAAAGAAAAAGCAGATTCCCTCCTCAGAGATCATGCCAGGCAGAGAAGGCACACTGGAAGGGAGCGGTCGGGGAAGGTGCAGGATGCAGAGCCTGGCATGGGCAAAGGGAGTGGCACTCAGAGCCTCTCTCCCTTAGCAGCGACTGCAGGAGCAAAAGCCCCCCTCTGAAAGGAGGGGGGACCCAGGCTGTCCCTCACACATCTCCCCTACCTGGGCTGGAGGCACAGCTTCCGTTTCCCCTCCTCTGCAGAACTGATCCCTGAACACCGTTTCTTCACTTCCTGAGAGGGAGACGAAGGAGGAAGAAAGATTGTTAGGCGACAGTCCGTCCATTCATTTGCTTGTTTGAATCCTGTTTCGTGCACCCTCCCTTCCCAGGGTGTTGCAAGCTCTCCCATGTCTCTGAGCCACCGTGGGACTGGGAAGACAAGGAGAAATAAGCCCGCCACCTGTGGAAGTGAGGGGGTGGTGGCGAAGGTCTGAGGCCATGTGCATGGCGGGACCCAGGCCAAGCAGAGCCTGATCAGCTGGAGATGCCTGTGCAGCAGCGGCTGCCTTCGGCCAGGGCCGTCAGGCGATCCATGGTGGGGCGATGCTGGGGGTTCACACTAGAGACTTTCGGCAAGTCTTATCCCCCCCGTGCAGTGACAGCTGCCCCAGGCTGAAGGATCCCAGCTCATGGGCTCTTTTTGTAGCAGGTACTCATTTGCATATTAAGCGACACACTCCTAGTGTAGCCAATCCTCCAAGAGCTTACAGTAGCCCCTGTAAGAAGAGCTCTGTAAGCTCTTGGAGGATTGGCTACATTAGGGGTGTGTGGCCTAATATGCAAAGGAGTACCTGCTACAAACAGAGCCCACCGTGCACACAAGGCCGAGCATGTGGCAGAGGCCCCAGGCCACCTGGTGACCAGTATAACTGGAGACTGCCCGCACCACGCCCCCACGAGGCTGCAGTTCACGGCTGAAGGCCACCGGGTGGTCCACGGGGAAGGGAAGCCTGGCCGCTGAGTCGCATGCTGGCAGGACTAGGCCCCCCTGATATGTGGAAGAAACTGCAGAAGAATGCCCTCCGTGGGCCAAAGCAAAGCTGCCATGAGGTGGGGGCATGAGAACAGCGGTGCCACTGGCCGCCAGCAGGCCCCGGCAGAGGATCGTCTGCACCCCCCACATGCAAACGCCGATCCTTGCAGCCATCCGGAACAGCATCCCCAGAGCTGCAGGTCGAGCGGAGAGGCATGCGACCTCGCCTTGGAACCCGGATGTGGCTGCGGTGGATCCCAACTTACGAGTGAGGTTGCCGCTGAAGCGAAGGGGTTCTGCTTGAAAGCTGCAGACAAGCTTGTTTGCCCTGCTGCTGAAGCCACAAGCGGAGTGGCTCTGCCCACCCCCACCCTCGAAGCAGCCTCCTTTCCCCTCCCTCACACCAGTTGCTTGCGGGTTGGATGCCAGCCCTAGATGAGCTGGTTCCGGCTCCCGGGCCTTATTTTTGACACCCCTAATAGCCACTGATGGACCTCTGTTCCAGATGTTTATCCAATCCCCTCTCGAAACTGTCTATGCTTGTAGCTGCCACCACTTCCTGCAGCAGTGAGTCCCACGTGTTACTGACTCTTTGGGTGAAGAAGTACTTCCTTTTCTTTGTTCTAAGCCTAGTGCTCAGTGAGATTTCTATGAGAACTGAAATGTACTCAGTGAACTCTGGAGCTCAGAAACAGGACAACATCCCTGCTGGATCAGGCCCAAGGCCCAGGGGCTCTATTTGCCCGCCAGCTGGGCCCTCCCACACGCCCTCCAGTCCTGGCTGGCAGGAGAAGGGAGGGGCACCTCTGTCACATCCTTCCAAAAACCAAGAGGTGACTTTGGCATGCATGAAAACTCCAGGGTACTATTGATGGGTTTCTAGAGCGTCTGCTGATGCTCTGACATCACATCCAGTCAAGTGTCACCCCCAAACATCACAGGGGTGCCCGGCTACAGGCTGGCATCCACAGTCCATTCTCCTCTTTCTGACTGTGGCCCATCAGATGCTCCTGGAAAGCTTTTAATCAGGGGCACAGAAGGCAAATGTTGGCCACTACCAATGCGTTTTCAGAGGTATGCTGCCCCAGAACATGGAGGTTCCATTCATTTGTGGTGGCCAACCGCTGTGACCAGATTGGTCTACCTTTCCTTTTTTGAGCTGCTTTGAGTCCCACTAATGGAAGGAAGGTGACATGGAAATATTTTAGTAAATCTGAATGAGAATGGAATTGCCTTCTATGAATCTGTCTAATGGCCTTTCAAGGGCATGGCCATCACTACATGCTATGGCACTGCATCCCCAGAACTCAACACTGTGTTGTGAGCAGAAGTGGTTTTTTTCCCTAGTGTTCCAAACCTTCTACTGCCCCAATCCCACCTGGCCACAAAACAGCCTTACCACCTGAGAGGGCATCTTGGTCATCTTCCTGGGCCTGAGCTCTCTGCCCTTCCTCCGAAGGAGATCCTTCCTCCTCAGAGAACTTTGCCTCCATCTTTATTGATGGTCCCGGCATCTGAAACAACAGCAAGGGAGAGGGGTAAGAGAAGGAATGGAACAAGCCGAGGAGAAGGATCTTGTCCCACTCCCAGACTCCTCATTCCTGCACTGACCAGCAGAGGTGGTGAAACCACAGGGGCAAGAGTCAGGTTTGGGCTTTCCTCCCAGCCTCGTGAATTCTCTAGAGGCAGAAATACCTGGCTGGGAAGCATTAGGAAAAGGTTGTTGCTCGAAGTGAGTGAAGAATATGCTACCTCACCTGCTCTGCCTGCCTTTTCTCCTCTGCCTGACTCAGGAGGAAACCTTCGGCCAAGTCCACTGCCTGGGAGCTGGTCTCCGGCCCACATCCTCTGACCCAGCACTGCATTCCCTGGGGCAGGACGGCCAGGAACTGCTCCAGGATCACCAGGTCCAGCATCTGCTTCTTGGTGCGCCTCTCTGGCTTCAGCCAGTGTTTGCAAAGTCCATGGAGCTGGCTGCAAACCTCTCGGGGCCCACTGGCCTCATGATAACAGAACTGCCGGAAGCATCGGCTGCGTACCTCTGCGGTCATAGTGTCCTGAACCAAGATCTCTGGCACAGCTTTTTCCCAAAATTCAGCACCACTCCCTGCATGGATGGAATGGGAACCTTTCCTTGATCTCTTGCCAGTTCCAGGTCCTTCTGGGTCCTCCTTTTCCATCTCCTTCCCCTTTCCTTGGGTTCTTCAGACTGTGGAAAGATACCCTTACTCACGTGGCTATGGAGAGACAGAGAGGAAAAAGATATCAAAAGGGCAGAAAGAAACCAAAAGCTAATGGAGCTACATCACCAACCCTGGTCAAAAGACAGCTAATGACTGGTAAGGGCTTAACCACTGCAGATACCTCCTCCGTAGGTTGGATGCATGTGGCAATAGCTCTGTGCAAGTCCTTGGCAGAGGGAATGGGGCAGAGGAGCATGAAGCCTCTCCAGGTTAGGGCAGAGGATGAACAGGGGCCAGGGGGAGGTAATGAACCACCAGGAAAATGGCAGATGGGATGTGAAGTACTCCCCCAAATGCTTTGCACAAAACTAGTCAGGAAGGAAGAGTGTAAATTTAGACTCTAGAGTCTTTTTGCCTGCTAGATTTGATACCATTGAGTTGTGAATTTGCTAAGAGGCCTTGGACTCCACTTAATACGAAACAGTATTTTGATTCATGCATGGTCATTGTACCTACCTGGACTCACTATACCCTTTGATAAAGGATTGTCTTCGGAATGGCCTTAATATTATATACCAGTGGTGGCGAACCTATGGCACAGGTGCCATTGCCCAAGCCAGGCCCAGACCATCATTAAAGTATCCAATTCTCTGCCAAATAATTTTAAGTAAATGAAAGCATTTGGGATTGCCTTCCTTACTTTGTTTAGATCATCTTAAGTTAATGTATGAGTTGTTTTTTCTAAAGTAAAACCTCAGTATTGAGGTTAAATTGCCGTGTTGGCACTTTGCGATAAATAAGTGGGTTTTGGGTCGCAGCTTGGGCACTCGGTCTCTAAAAGGTTCGCCATCACTGTTATATACGATACCGTCAGTGTATACTGGACAGTATTTTCTCTGTGGACTGTTATTGGCCTTAGGAGGGCTTGTGCTTGTGGACTATTTTGGATTGGATTGCTTTGAATCTTCATTCTTTGGTTATAGACTGTTTTAGAGATATTGTTTTGTTGTTTTATTGTTGTAAGCCGCCCTGAGCCGCTTCGGCGGGAGGGCGGGATAAAAATCAAATAAATAAATAAATAAATAAATAAAATTGTGGCACTTTATGATGTGCATTACATTCTTTTGAAGTGCTGTTTGGTGTAGTGGTTAAGTGCGTGGACTCTAATCTGGGAGAACCAGGTTTGATTCCCTACTCCTCCACTTGCACTTGGCTGGATGACCTTGGGCAAGCCATAGTTCTGATAAGAGCTGTTCTTGAAAAAGAGCAGTTCCTGTCAAGAGTTCTCTCAGCCCCGCCTACCTCACAGGGTGTCTATTGTGGGGAGGGGAAGGGAAAGGAGTTTGTAAGCTGCTCTGAGACACCTTTGGGTAGTGAAGGGCGGGGTATAAATCCAATTTCTTCTTCCTCTTCTTCTTCTGTATGTGTTTAAATATTCAATATATTTAATATATTCCGTTGAGTATTATTACATGTCTTAAAATCTTTTTGGGAGAGTTTCCACTTTTTCATTTCCAAATGCTTTGCATGCAGAGCATCCAATGGGCTTGTACGATTCATCCCATGTGACCACGCCTGGGAGTCCTTTCTGGGCCTCCTTACAGCCACCATGGCTGAGAATTTATTTTCAGGTATTTTAACTTACAAAATCCAGATCCCGCTTTTCTGCCCCCACGGCACCTAACAAATCAAAACATTTATGTACATGTCATATCTTTATGTTATTAA